GTCCCATTTAACCAGACTTACACAAGGGCTTTGCGAGTGCTGAGTGTAAGAATAGGGAGGGCAGGTGTAGAGGTATCGTCACACTATAAAAGAGGAAAATTGAGGCTCAAGGGGGTGGGAAGGAAACGATTGTTTATTCTGTGCCCACTCTGTTGCAGACACTAGCTGGGAGCCAGTTATTTCTTTTTTTAAATATTTATTTATTATTATGTATACAGTGTTCCTCCTGCATATATTTCTTCATGACAGAAAAGGGCACCAGCTATCATTACAGATGGTTGTGAGCCATCATGTGGTTGCTAGGAATTGAGCTCAGGTCTTCTGGAAGAGCAACCAGTGCTCTTAACGGCTGAGCCATCTCTCCAGCCCCGCCAGTTATTTCTTAATCCTCATGACACCCTCCTATGCAGGTTAGGAAAATGGGAGTCAGAAAGTTAAGTAGCTATCTGTGATAAAGCTTTACCTGTCCATTGTAAGACACCACATGGTTTGAAGTGATGGAACCAATGGAATGAGTCTGCTGGTCTCTATCAGTGCTGTACCCGTAACGTGCCTGGTCATCAGAACTCTCTAAACACTCTAATGTCTTGGGCATCAACCCTGGAAGTTTGATTCATCAGGTCTGAGGCTGAACCTGGGAGCATGTGCTTTCAAAAAGCCCAAGTGATTATGGTGCTTGAGAAAGCAAGGGCTGGAGCATGTGGCTTCCCTGCCAACCCAAGCCTTATAGGATGCTGTCGTTTCTCTGAAGCACAGATCTAGTCTAGCCCTGCTTTATACCACAAGCAATATCTGCTGCCAGACCCAGCTCAGTGGCTCAGGACTACATGGCTATGGAATGGAGGCTACTTTTAGAGGGTTAGAGGTGAGTTTGCTAAAGTTAGAGCGAGACTGTACGGGAGAGACCTGGAGTGTTATGTGAAGGGGTTTGGTTTTTATCTTAGAAGCAATGAGAATTGACAAGGCATTTTGAATCTGTGGAAGCTCCTGCTGGTATTGCCTCCTAGACATGAGGGTCTGAGATACAGGCAGGGAAAATCTAGCAACATAGGACAGAACGATTGCAGAATTAGGAATTTATGTATGTCAAAAAGCACCGTAAATGAAAGCCAAGCACTTGGAAAGCAGGTCAGCAGCATTTCTTGAACAAAAATAATATTCTTAAAGTTACAAATAGATAATAAACATTAAAGATAAACATACCAATATCAAATAAATAGAAATTTCACAAGAAAAGAAATACAAATGGTCAAGAAGCATATGAAAATGTTATTCACCGATAACCAAAGAAAGTTAAAGCAATCAGTTGAAATACCATCAATGTACTGTCATTTGCCTATCAAATTGGCAAAGATGTGATAAGTGTTAATACCTAGTTCTTGTTCAGGCCCAGAGAGCAGGGCACTCTGGGGGCTGCAAACAGGACAGTGTTTTGGTACAAACTTTCTACAGGGCATTGGCAACATGTATCAAAATCCTTGAAAATAGCCAAGCAATTTCCTTCTTGGATTATATCCTAAGGAACTCATCGTAGACACGTGCAAAATTTAGCGACAAGAATGTCAGATACAACATTATTTACAGTAAAGATTGGGACCAAGTGAAATCATCTGTATCTGTGGACAGGTTACAAAATAAAGATCCACCCATATCACGAAGATGCTTGCATAAAGATCCAAAAGACATACCAAAATGCCCATGACGTGTTACATAAAGCAACAGAAGATAAAGTATCTGATATGCTACTACTTGTGAATAATAAAAGAATATATATACATATCTCTGAAAAAAATGTGTATCTCTATTGGGGTATACAAGAAACCAGAAGGAAACTAGCTGTGATCAGACAAGGGAAAAAGTTACTTCCAACTACAGAGTTTGTGTACTATTTGAATTTTGTATATCTGTGCACATATTGCATATTCTAAAATATAAATACACATTTGAAAAGTAAGTTATTAAAGAGTATATACAGCATGATCCAGTTTTCATCATTAAAAAACAAACAAAAATGGGCAAGAGTGTGTGAACACATTTATACCAAGGAGAATGAAATGTGTCAAAAGGATAAAAATGTGGTTGCTTGACGACTGAGTTTCATCCTTACCTTTCCTTAAAAGTTTTACAATACATATGGGAGGGTTTTCTAATGCAACAAAAAGTATAAGTTTTATGCCAAAGGGCCTCTCACGAAAGTCCAGGCAAATGACAATGCCATTCAGATTCGTGATGAGTGCTGTCTACACAGTTCAACACTGACACCCACCAAGTCTGTAATTAGAGTACATTTAGGAGATATGGAAAAAAGAAGAGTAAACAGCCCTCTGAAGACTATACTGACAAATGCACAGCAAATTCAGCCCTGCCACCCCTAAGTGTTGACTAATACCCTAGGCTTTATGGCGGGGAGAGGGGGGATATCACTTAAGTCTGGGTCACAGTGAATGGAGTTCCCAGGAGCATGTGTGTTGGAGTCACTGGATAAGACAATAGCTATACACTTGTCCTCACCTCGCTGTGCCTTGCAAGCATTCTCTTTGGGGGGAGGACAATGATTTTATCCCTATGAGTATGGCCCCCACCCAATGTATTCATTCAAACAAGCCTTTTCTCTTGCCCCTTTGTTGAGAATATGTACCCAAATCATTCCTAATACTTTGAAGAACAAAGGGGGAGCCTGCCAGCTTGAACTCATTCTGTAGACTACCTATGACTTCATTTTTCATCCTTCAGATTCTAATAGTTTATCAACTTATAAACTCTGAGCTTGGGGATGGCATTGGTGGTTAAGGGGATGGATATGGGCATATGTCAGGGCTGAGCAGAGCTTTGGGTTGGGTCATGTGAAGTCATTTTGGAGGAGGAAGACAGGATACGGTCAAAGTCAGGGACAGAAGCAGGAAATGTGGTACCTGGGATGGCTTTTTCCTTTTCTTCTTCTCCAGAGCCCCTGTGGACCTCTGGATATTTCTAGCACCTTCCCACAGCCCCCAGTGTTTGGGGAAGCTGTGTGGATAAAACCTGTGCTGTTGGCTTCTGGGCCCCTCAGCAGTGATTGGGTCTTGCAGCGGCAAAGCCACTAGCTGAACAAGTAATCCATAACTAACTTCCTGTTTCTCTTCAGTCTTTGTCTATGATTGTGACTCCCAATACTGGCCATCCAGTAAAGAATGCCAGGTGGGTTGTTAAGATTCATGCTGCCCCATCAGCAAATGGAACCACCAGCACACAGATGTAACTGCCAGCTCTCAGTTGTCCTGGCTGGTCATTGCCCAAGCCACTAGGGCTTCTGGCTTCTGGTCACTTTCTGTCTTGCGTATGTAAATATAAGGCGGGCAGGGCACTGATGTGTTTAACATTTTTCCAACTCAATGCAAATTTTTCTGCTCCAGTAGTTGTTACAGAGAAGCAACTAAGCATAGAATAGTTGGTAGCCAGAGCTCTGGAGTCAGACAGATCTGGTTCAATCCTAGCCATGTCCTGTAAGGCCATGTAACCTCAGGAAAGTTAATTTCTCTGGCTTTCTGTTTTCTTCTCCATCACCTGGGAATAATATCTCACAGAGTGGTTATTTGAAAGAAATGAGATTGTCCATGTAAAGATATGAAGATAGAGCATTTAATAAATCCTAACTATTAACATTATTGCATCTGTATATATTTTAATTTTATACAACAGTGTCTCACTAAGTCACACGGACAATACATGAAAGTGCCTTGAAAATATTTAAGCATCCTATATATTAGTGGTGTCATTGGTAATAATCTCATATGGATTTCTCAGCTTTCCTATCTCCGTGAAGACTGGGATCACACCCTATATTGCACTATGGTGGGGGAACTGTAAGCCCCCAGGAGATGTTTCAACACAGCATAGCATAAAAAGCACACACATCAGGAGGCCAGGCTGGGATCCAATTAGTTTAAGGCAGGAGAGTCAGTCTGCAGTTGAAATTTATCCATTCAACAAAAATTTGTTATGTGCTAGATACCAAATCCAGGTAATTTTGTCAAAAAAGGGGTCTGAACAAATTCTCACAAAGCCAAGTCCTGGAGCAGTCTCCACAATCCCAGCCTACCCCTAAAAGCACAAAGGCTGTGGCCAACGTGATGCTTAGTCCTGGACTAAGGGTCATTGGCTTTAGGGGAAGCTGTAGGCCACTCTGCCTGAGGAACTGGAAGGGAAGAGAAGTGAGGGAGTGGACTGTGTTCAACAGAAATGGCAGGAACTGAGGCCTGTGAATTAGTTTTTATTTCCACTGATTAGTCCAGTCCCTCAGCCTACCCAAGGCTCTTTCTTTCCCTCCTCTGTCACCTACACAGTCTGCTCTGCCCCCAACATTTGGCCCATTTCACCCTGCCCTTCTGCTGTCACAGCTGCCTGCTGGCTGAGAGGCGGGGGAATGGTATGTGTGGTCACCAGAGGGCACTGAGAGTGGGTCCTAATGGTATGTGAATCCCAGCAAAGACCTGACCTCCCAATGGGAGAGAAGAAAGTAAAGCTCAGACAATAAGGGGGTGTGGCAGGGGCTCAGGTGACCAAGGGGGTGGAAGGAAATTCACAGCCTCAGCATTGGGTCAAACAATGCTTCTCCCATCCATCAGTCCCAGACTTCTTTCAGTTTCCTCAAGATGCTCTGGTTTATCAAGGTGTAGAGGGTCCAGACTGTCCGCTGCACACACCCATCAGGCTCAGAAACACTGGCCCAAGTCGAAGCCACAGGGTCATCCCCACCCAGTCCATGAGACTCTTCTCCAGCTGTTCCATTTGCTGGCCTGCTAGGGAAGAGGAAAAGTCCATGTTTGGGCCACCCACCAAGGTCCAGGAGTGCTTCTCACCTTTTCACACTGGGAGTAGACAGAGCTGGGGAGCAACAGGAAGGAGGAGGAGTACAGGAAGAACTGGGGAGAGAGGGATGAGAACCCACAGGGGGACTCTCCACCAAGGGTGCCTGGAAGTCCCTAGTCAGGTATGGGTGTGGCTCGACAGAGGCCTCTTCATTACACGGCTTCTTTCTCTCTTTGCAAACATCTGCTGAGCTTCATCTCCGTCAGCTGGATGTACCGAATCACATTGGTGTCTGCAGGGACAGAAAACACCGCTCAGGGACTACCCGGCATGGAGCTGGGCCTAAAGCTTGGTGACAGACTAGATTAATTCAGCCAAGGTCCCTTGCCCTAAGTGGTAGCCAGATGCCACACTTTTCCTCACCGCTTCTCCCCCGGCAAATGTGACCAGCTTATTGTAACCTGGCAGCAAAAAGTGATCTCACCGGTTCCTGGGTCAGCATGGCTATCTGAGAGTCTGCTTGGCACTAACCCTCAGGCAAGCCACCAGCTTCTCTACCCTTGTGTCTCATTTGCAAGCAACAACAATCATTTTTCATATCCACTTTGTGTTTTTTTTTTTTAAGTTAAAAAATGTTGCTTACAGCCAGATGTAGTGGCACATGCCTGTAAGTCCCAGTACCTGGGAGGTGAAAACATGAGTTCAAGCTCATCCTTGACTACATATCCAGTTTGAGGCTAGCTTGGGCTACATGAAACCCTATCTCAAAAACCTAAGCAAACAAAACATTTGTAATAGAGGGCGTTGCCCAGGCTGGAATCAACTGATATTCTTGCCTCAGATTCCCAGGCACCTGGAACTATAGGTGGACACCACTGTGCCTGGTTATGGTCAGCTTTGCTAGCCTGCATTATCTCATCTAGTTCTTAGTGCGACTTTCAAGGTATGTATCTCAACTGTCACTATGGCAAAGAAGATTGCTACCTGGAAAAATTAAGATGCTCAGGGAGCCAGACATTGTGGTACACCCTTTTCATACTATCACTTGGGAGGAAGAGACAGGCAGATCTCTGTGCGTTCAAAGCCAGTCTGGTCTACATAGTGAGTTTCAGGACAGTCAGGGCTATGTAGAGAGAGACCCTGTGGCAAAAACTTTTTTATTAAATGCTCAAGGAGACACATAGTGATTGGCATGTCTGTCCAAGCCTGATTCTCCTGGGGATCAGACCTTCTCATAGAGTTGCTGTGAGGGCAAGAGGAAGGAAGTCAAAAAGTGCCTAACATATCGATCAATGAACATTAGTAGAATGCACTATTTTACTTAACTTAGTAGTTTAAAATGTCTTTGCTCCATGCTTATTTTTGTCTTTGTAAGCACAGCCACATAAACATTTCTCAACTGAAGCATTTTCTTCTAATTCCAGTCCTTAAATGAGTGGTGCATGGCATGCAAGAATCGTTCAGTTAAGTACTTACCACAACATATGGACCACTGCTGCCTGAGATACCTACTTGTGGAAGCAAAAATGATACAGCCTCATGCTTAAAAGCCCCAGGCATAGATAGCATCCTGTACCGGCATATAGCAGGTGCTCAAGAAAACTCTGTTGGAAGCGTTTGCTTTTAGTTCCAAAGCTGCTTGCAATATAGTTGGCAGACCACACTTTATATATACAGAAAACAAGCAAAGCATATGTAAAAACAGAGAGGTATTCTTTAAAAAAAGACAAAGAAAGAATATGCTTGGATGTTTGAAAGTTGAGAAGTTCTTAAAGATATGGATTGGAGGAAATCTTGCTATCTTAAGGAATCAGCCACATGAACAATAACAATGAGCCAAAGCCATCGCCTACAGCTCACCTTGTCCGAGAGGCTTTCTGACCACCTGTTCTAAAACCCTCTAGTTCCCTTTACCCTGCTTTATTTCCTTCATAGCATTTACTACTGCTAAATAATACATCATCAACTTGTCTGTGTGCTTCCTCCATTATAATGAATGTTCCTTGTTGGGTGTGGTGGCACACACTTTTAATTCCAGAACTTAGAGGTGGAGGCAGGAGGGTGGGGAGTTTGAGTACAGTCTGGTTGACACAGCAAGACCTTGTCTCAAAACAAACAAACACAAACAAACAAACAGTAATAACAGCAAAAAAATAAACCAAAACACAAACCCAAAGAAAACAAAGAACTTTCCCTTGTGTTGTCCAGTCTGGTCTGAACTCCTAGGCTTACACGTGTAGTCCACTTGCCACAGCTTCCTGAATGCTAGGACTATAAGCACAGGAACCTGGGCACAGCAGCAGCCTTCTTTGCTCACTGCTAATGTACTCACCACCTAGAATAAGTAGTTCTTGGCCCATTGCACTACCTCAACCAATACCCAGGGGATGAATGAATGATGGGAGAGCTAATATAAAGGAATGAGATCTGATTGGAGAAGTTGGTGTATGCTTCCTGGAAGATGCTGCTCTTAGCATCAAAAATTTCTGTTCATATCTGTCTTGTCAGCCAACTGTGGACACATGGGAAAGGGGTGATATCTTCTCATCTACATAGTACACATTGTGCTACACAGTAAGAACTATTTATCTTAGAACTATGTATCTATTTATTAAATGAGCAAAGAGACCTAGGTTTGAGTTGGGAAAGGCAAAATCCAATCCTATAGTGTATCTGAAGAGAAGAGGTGTCCAGGGTCCCTGAGAACCAGACCCCAGGTGAAAGTGTGGATTATGTGCTCTCCTGGAATGACCTTGTTTTCTATTATTGGGCCCACCTAGCCCTGCCAGCCACAGATGTCATCTTCTGCAATGAGCAGGCCCTAGGTATTGTCAGGGGTGTCTGTGATGAGAAAGCAGAGATAGCTGTCTCACCTGTTGGTTGTCGGGTCCTTGCTTCTTTTAGGTAGTAGAGAGCTTTGTCATAGTCCCCAAGATGATAGAAGGCCACGCCAGATCTGTAAAGGGCCTTGAAGTTCTCTCCTTCCTTCTTCAGGACCTTGAGGCAATACTCCTTGACTCGCTCATAATTTACCAGCTCAGCCTGGAGCAGGCAGGCTGTGAAAGAAGGAAAAATAAAGAGAAAATGCCATCACCAAAATGGTAGGCTCTGAATATCTCTTGCTAGTCTAGCTTGTGGACCATAACCCACATGGGTCCCAGGATAGCTATAAGTGCAGCCCAACCCATCTGTAGATGACAACATCACATGTCACAGTGCTAGACACTCTTGCCTCATTCTTTCTGTGATTTAAGAATCAATGGTTACAGGACCAGTTTCATCACCAAGAAGTCACATAACTAAATATGTTACGTAACCTTAAATTATGGGTCAAATTATGTCTCCCCTAAAAGGTACATGGGTACTATCAACTGTCAGTATCTGAGAACATGACCTTATTTGTAGACAGGATCTCTATAGAGGTAATCATGTTAAAAGCAGGTCATTAGAGTTGGCTCAAATGATGTGACTGGTTTCCTTATAAAATGGAACAGACTATCCCTGACAGTCTTCCAAAGGAACCAACCCACTGACACCTTGATTTTGGACTCCTAGCCTCCAGAACCATATAGCAACACATCTGTGTGACCTGGAGCCATCTAGTCTGTGGGACTTTGTTACAGAAGCCCAAAAAAGAAGCTATCAAAGGCAATAGTAATAAGAGTAGCTAGCACTTGTTGACTGCCTGCCTTATCCTGGAGACATGTCTCACCATTTTATATGCATTTATCTGATGTAACCCTCAGAATATTATGGTGTAGGTACAATTATTACTCCATTTTGCAGATAAGGAAATTGAGCCTTTAAGAATGTAAGAATGTTCTTGAGAGTACACAACATGCAAGAGGCAAGGATAGATTTAAACTACTGGCTGGCTCCACAGCCTAGATTCTTCTTTATCAGGTTGTTGGGTGTGGGATACAAACTAAGAACCATAAAGTATGCAATACATGGCTTGGCATTCAAGAAGCATTCAAACAATGTTTGCCAACTTTGCTATCACTCTGTCTAGCTTGTACCCGTGCCATGTGCCCTGACCTCTTTCAAGACAGGTCATTGTCTTTCTCCTTCCTTCTTGCTCTTGTCTACAGTTCCTGAGAGGGAGAGCTTTCTGATGGGCTAGTGACTAGCTCATGCAGGACCCCTTTCTGGACGTAGAGCCATAGGTGTTCCAGGCAAGAGGAACCTAAGGGTAGTGGGTGCTCATTCTGTAATTAGCCATATTTGAATAAAGCATCTTCCCTTGAAGGATTTTCTCATTGGCCTGAGCCACAGGGCTGGACAGAATGAAAATGTTCCTGGAGGAGGCTGAACCATCGTATGGCTCTAGGCACTTCACTGGAAGCCTGCTGAGACACTTCCACCATATTTGCTAGTACCAACTAGCAAAGAGGTTCATTGTGCACATTGGAAGGGCTGTAGATAGGGGAGGGTGGGAAGGTGCCTGCCTGTTTCAACAAATCAAACCAAAATAAAGACACTGGACTGCCCATGGTCAGCCTGGGTAGGGAGCAGGAAGGGCTGCTGGCTGATGTGTGGCTGTCTCCTGGATGTGTTCAGATTAGAAGAGTTGTCACAATACAGGGTCTCACTATGTATTCCTGGGTGGCCTGGAACTCTCTATGTAGACTAGGTTGGCCTCAAACACACAGAGGTCTACTTGCCTCTGTCTCCTGGGTGTATTAGATACATGTGCCACCACACCCAGCTTTAATCTTAAGGGTTCTAATTTCCCTTGTTTCTATCTCCCCAGTAATTTTCCACCACACATTCTGAACCCAAAACCCATCCTTTTGTATACTAACAGGTGAACCACACAAACTCTCAACCAGAGGATATGAGAACCAGGAAATGAATGAGATCTAGAAACCAACCCACCAGGTTTTCCTAGCTTCTAGGCAGAAAGCCAAAAGCCAGTCAGCAGGGGCAGCAGGCTCACCCTCAGGGTGACTGTTCAGCCAGTCACAAGCTGTTAGTATACCAGAGGCTCCTTCGCTATGAGCTGATGTCACAACTTCCCCTCCACCTTCAGCAGTAGGTCCTGGACTCCTGTGTCCCTTCCCCTATCCCAGGCTATGCTGACAGGGTGGGCCTTTGACAAGGGAGTTCCTGGATGTGATCCCACTGACATCTACCAGTGTGAGATGCAGTTCCTACATCTGCTCTTAGGGCAAGAGGATTTCCAGTGTGTAGCTTCCTCATGCCATGTCTGACGCCTTCTCTGACCAGGCACAGTGCCCTTTTGCAGTCTCACCCTCCAACTCTAAACCCACATTGTGTTTACTGACCTGGAAAGTCTAGGAAGGACCTCTGCTTCTTTAAAAATAGGCAGATGCCTAAAGCAGCAGAGAAAGGAAGCAGGAGGCTGGAAATAGGAAAGCCTCATCCTCCCTCCGCCCCTAAAGGGGAAAAGCAAATACAGTGGTCTACTTTGACTCTTACATCACAAAAATGTTTCTAATTCCCTGTAAGCAGCCCTATGGGAACTGGGGCACCTGGCTGTGGACTGGGTTTCAGACCTGAGAGGCGGCAGGGCCAGGCTGGTAACTGGGCGTGGAACTCCTGCTCATACTGGAGACAGCACCCAGGGAGACTGAGAAGTGGGCAGCCTTCCAGAGAAAGGCTGAAACATAAGGTGGAACTTGAGAAGTAGAATCCAGATAAGGAGCCAGGGTGCCAGGCCAGGGTTTGAAAGAGGATGCAGGTGGAAAGGGTGAGAGGCTGGAGGTGACCTGAGCCCTACTTGCTGGTGATATAGAGGCACCCCTTTGCTTGGGCTGGGGAATTCTCTAGGCACATGTAATAAATCTACAATAAGACAAGACATTTGCAGGCAGCTTTGAGTGTTGAAGAACTTAAGAATAAGGTGACAGTCTGCTTCCAATCATTCATCCTTTGTGTAGGCTAGGAGTTTGCAAGAGGACCCTCTTCATAGTAAGTGTGTGTGTGTGTGTGTGTGTGTGTGTGTGTGTGTGTGTGTGTGTAAGAGAGTGTGACATATAGACACACATGTGTGTAGATATAAGCACCTGTGTGTGTGTGTGTGTGTGTGTGTGTGTGTGTGTGTGTGTAGAGAGCAGAAGATGTAAGCTGCCATGGTCTGGGACTTGCCGTCTTATTCCCTTAATAGAAGATTTCTCACTGAGCCTGGAGCTGGGCTGGTGACCAGCAAAACCCTAGGAGTCTTTCTTGTCTGTCACATCCTTATGTGTGCTATGGTTACAGATGTGCATATGAACACCCGTATATGGCTTTATACGGGTTCTGAGATCTGAACTTATATCCTCATGCTTGTACAGTACTCTTCCACACTGAGCCATCTCCCTCTCCTTACAGCAATGCATCCCTTGGCTCGCTGTCAGAGCTGGGCTCAGTACCTCACACATACTGTGCATGTTGTTAAATCTCCACAACTCCATGGAACAGATTCTATTTTTATAGTCCTTTATAAATGATGAAATTGAGTTCAGAGAAATGAAGCGACTTGCTGAAGGTCACTCAACTGGAGGGGGATATCAGACCATTTCTGCCAGACTCCCAAGAGTGTGCCAGAATACTGGAGTATCTGCTTTTGAGGCCCTCAGAAACCTATACCACTCCTGGGAAGAAAGAACACCTTGCAAGCTACTATGTCCAAGGGCAACAGGTAAGAGTGTGCTTTGTAGAACATGGACAGTGGATGGGAGTGGGGACGGGTCAATGCACTCTCTACTTTAGCCGTTTTTAACTTGTGGCCAATAGGCCATGTGTATCCCTGGCTAGCTATGGCTGTGCCCCCAACAATTTCTAAATGACAGTGTCATATTACAGTATCAAGTTTTGAGTTCCCCCAGTCCATTTGCAGGGCCTGAGATACTGCTAAGAAGTCAGGTGTTACACGATAAGGGAAAGGGCAGAATGGAAGCACCAATGGATGACAGAAAGGGGCCTCCACCCAACCTCAAGCACCACGGAAGGCCTTCCTGGAAGAGTGACCTTTAATTTGGAAGTGAAATAGTGGGAGTTCCTAACCCCACCATTATGAGCATTGGGGACCAGATAACTTTTTGTTACAGGATAAAGTCTTGGGCATTGCGGGATGAGCTTCTCTTCACCAGGCACTAATTGTAGCAATTGACAAATACCGTAGACATTGCTAAATGTCCCCCAGAGGGGTAAAAAATCACTCTTATTTAAGGATGGCTGGTCTAAAAGAAGCTAAGAAAACTTTTCTAGGCAGCTGGGAAGAGAGAGGGAGAAATGGGGGAAGGAGAGACAGACGCACACTGAGAGGGAGCACACATGCACACTGGCATGGGCCGACTGAGGGACTCCAAGAAGCCACATCAGGCTGGAGCAGAGAGCCCAATGGGAAGCCCTAGAGAAAAATGAGGCTGCAAAAGCAAGAAATCAGGACACCCAGACCTTCTTTTCCATTTTGAGGTTAGTGTGGATTTTCAGGGTATTCATTTAAAGTGGAAACAGACAGGCAAGAGGTCTGGATCAATACGTGACACCCAGTGGTGGAACTAGTGTGGGAAACACCTGTTGTGTTTGCCCCACTGTTTCTCTGCTGAGGACATTCCTGCTGAGGAAGAAGTATCCTCTCACTCTGCTGTGATCTGCTGTCTGTTTAAACTAAAGTTGAAATGTGTTGTGTGGTGCAGACCAATATTCCCTAGGCCGGCCTGCCTTTGCCTCTGACCAACAGGACAAAAATAATTTTCTCCTTGTAGGTCTTGACTTCCTGTCTGCTAAAACAAGGGGCCTACACTTTATTAAATAGTCTCTACCATCCTTTTAGATCTAGCAGCCTGTGTGTTGGGGGGTGGGGAGAGCATGGTCTCTTCATGGAATAACACAATTGTTCATCTGGACCCTTGTCAAAAGGAATACCATCCGTCCTGATGAGTGAACTATTTTCTTTAGGGGATTATGGTCAGAATAAGAAGGCAATGGTCAACAGGTAAGATGATGGATCACCCCTATCCTGAGTGGGTCTCTCTCTCTCTCTCTCTCTCTCTCTCTCTCTCTCTCTCTCTGTGTGTGTGTGTGTGTGTAAACTGGAGAGGTTGAA